TCGGTTTAACAGGCGGATATGGTGTTGTATTGCGCGGGTGCGGGTCTCCAAAAATGGACCCGTGCAGGACTCTGCGCTGTAGGCTCGATTACGGAATAAATTAATTTTCGGTTCGTTACGTAAAGAAGGAGGAAAATAACAAAAGGACGACGGCAGCAATAAGTTTTTAGAAGGATGCAAAAAGAGTTGTAACTGTCCTGTGTGAGAAAAGTGTATAAAGTTTGTGGTGAGGGGTTTTACAGACTTAATACAGATATAATAATTGTAAAATATAACGTTGACTACTTCGCGGAAACCACCTGTAACTGCAAAATAAAAGATATATTCGTTTAATGATTTACTGTGGGACATCCCAGGCCAAGCAATAACCTCAGATGACCGGTCCTCCAGCAGAAAAATTGCACAACGCGCCTTTTAACTTGAGTAACTTTTCAGTGTTATATTAGCAGCAAATGTTCGAGAAAGGTCAGTATAATTAATTACATTGGCTGCATACAGAACGTTCTAATTAAATCATATTCATTTTATATTTTCATTGGTTTTCTCAAGCTCGTTTCGTCTCAATCGTGTTTTTCTTTTCCGGCCATATGTCTTTGAATAAACCGAGCCTTCGCGCACATATCTTTCTTCAGAGGCGATGCAATGTCATGGTAACCTCATTATGAAACAGATAAAAGCTGCTCCTCTGTGTTACTTAGTGTGTGGGTAATTAGCTGCGTATGGACAAAAGGAATAGCATTACGAAACAAAATGAATTGAAACTTCAAGGGAATTAAAACTATTTTCGAATAAACATGCGTACAATGGAAAAATGCAATGCTATAAAAAAGAAAAAAACGTGTATGTAAATTAACTGTATGGATGCCAAATTTGATTATAATAAGAAACAAAAAAAAACATGTACGTGTAAACTAAGTCCTGTACATTTTACAAACAAAATACCGTATTTTTTTAACTATAAGTTGCACTTTTGGGGGGAAATTTACTTTATAGAATCAGAGATCAGGAACTAACATTTCATCTTCAAGTCAAGTTCTAGTAAAAACAATAGAAGAGAGAACAACAGACTGTTAACGTCACATATGAACAGTTCTTCAGTCTTCTGTGTCGTCGTCAGACTCAGCATCAGTTCCAGTTAGAATTATTCGGGTCTTTCTGAATCCCGACAGGATGGTTTCGGTGTCACTGAAGTCCAGACTTTGTCCATCCATCCAGTGACTTGAGGAAAGTTTTAAGGTGCATCCTCCCGGTTCTGCTGCTCGATTTTTGGCTACAGATTTCACGACTTGCATCAGGACAGAGGCTCTTTCTGCAGGAGACATGCGCAGTAGAGCCAAGTGACAGTGGTACAGGAGGAACAGGAGCAGCAGATACTGACACACAAGACTAGAACCCCTCGCGGTTGTCAGTGTGAACATTCTAATACTCAAGTCACACCAGAGCATAAGTTGCAGGAAACACCAAAACCATGAAAAAAGTGCAACTTATAGTCTGAAAAATATGGTAATTAAAAGTGCATTGTGTAACTTTTCTGGTTTTCCTTAGCTTTGTTTTGCTTTGCTTTGTTTAAACACATTGAAAAGGTATAAGTTAACAGGGTTCCCACGGCTATGGAAATCCTGGAAAAGTTGTGGAAATTGAAAATGTCATTTTACAGGCCTGGAAAAGTCATGGAATTTTAGTATTTCTTTCACGCAACTATAGCGTTCTGTTAAGTTCTTATTAGGCTTTTGATTATTTCTGAACGTCTGCGCCTTTTGTTTAAAAGAGACGACAATAAATGCACTGACAGGATTTTGAATGTTAAAAAACTATAAAACCAAACCATAAAGTGAGTGGAAAGTGTTAACATTTCATATTTAGCCCTAAAAATATGCTCAGGGGACTATATTTAGGACTTGAGACTTGATAAAATGGACTAAGACTTGGGACTTGACTCGGACTTGAGGCCTGTGACTTGAGAAGCACTTTTAAATCTGAATTCATTCTTTTCTGACTGTAATGATTTACACTAAAATCTTGTCAAGACATTTAAAAAGGAATAATTAACATTTCTACAACTCTATAAATACTCAAATTTAAATATACTAAGATTTTTTTGAAGTACAAATTATCTTAAAATTCATATAAATTCCAGAAATCTAAGCTATATTTATTGCTTTTTTGGTTTAAAGAGTTTAAATGACTTGAAACTCCAAGCAGATGACTTGGACTTGACTTGGACTCGAAAACTCAACTTGGACTTGCCTGTATTTGATTTTGGGACTTGACTTGGACTTGAGGTCAAAGACTTGAGACTTGCAAAACAAAGACATGGAAAATTCACTTTAGGTCATGAAAAAGTCATGGAAAAGTTTTGAAATTTTGTCAATGAAAAAGAGCGGGAACTTTTAGGCAACTAAAATTCGTAACAAAAATAATGAAAAAGTGTTTTTGAGAGTTAAAAAAATTCAAAATGAGAAAAATTTTAAATACGATGGAACAAATTATCTTCCATACGGTTGACCAATCAAAAGATATAATATTTTGTGTTGATTTTTTAATTACTATGGTAACAGTTTTAACTTCTCATCATTCTGAAACCCGTGGATTTACTGTATATATGTTTCCCTCTTTAAAGAAACTGACAGACACGGGTTCAGAGAAGTACATGGAGGTACAGTCACGTTGCATGGCGGTTGATCTAAAGAATGGTGTGGTACATAAAGCAACCTACATTTCTAACTATAAATATCCGTCAATAGGGCATTACTGAGCCTTTGTGCTGCGTCCAACGGCAACATAAACGCTCTTTTTTTACTTCTTCAAATGGTCAAATGCACCTGTTGTTGTTCTTACTGTTTGGTTTTATTTAAAAGGCCCATATTATGTTATTTTCTAATCTATGTTATAATGTTGTTCAAAAACACTAAAAACATTGTTAGTCTTTGTTAATGTTACTAATTCTGTTTTTTTTAAAGGTGCACTGTGCAGCTTTTCTGTTGGAGGGTTCGTCGTCTGTTTGTCACCGCAGAAATACTATTGCTTTGCCTGGATGGTTCTACAGAGCAGCATTACACTTATCTTGTGTTTATTCAATCAGTATATCCATAGGAACAAGCAGGTGACAGACCCTCCACCAGAAAAGTGACACAGTGTACCTTTAATGAGGCCGTTCAGACCAGACGCCTCTGTTTAGACGCCTTTACATTTGAGTTTAGAAGCCGTGGACAAACGGGAGAAAAATACTTGTCTAATACTGGTCTAGTCTTCATTTAGTCCTGGTCCGGTCCTGGTTAGATCCTGGTCTAGTCCTGATTTAGTCCTGGTTTAGATCTAGTTTAGTCATGGTCTAGTCCTGGGCTGGTCCTAGTTTAGTCCTGGTCTAATCCTGGTCTAGCCCTGGTTTAGTCCTGGTCTGGTCCTGGTCTAGTCCTGGTCATTTCTGGTCCGGTTCTGGTTTAGTCCTGGTTTAGTCCAGGTCTAGTCCTTGTTTAGTCCTGGTCTAGTCCTTGTTTAGTCTTGTTTAGTCCTGGTCTAGTCCTTGTTTAGTCCTGGTCTAGTCCTGGTCTAGTCCTTGTTTAGTCCTGGTCTAGTCCTGATTTAGTCCTGGTTTAGACCTAGTTTAGTCATGGTCTAGTCCTGGTCTAGTCCTGGTTTAGACCTAGTTTAGTCATGGTCTAGTCCTGGTCTGGTCCTAGTTTAGTCCTGGTCTAGTCCTGGTCTAGTCCTGGTCTAGCCCTGGTAGTCCTGGTCTGGTCCTGGTCTAGTCCTGGTCATTTCTGGTCCGGTTCTGGTTTAGTCCTGGTTTAGTCCAGGTCTAGTCCTTGTTTAGTCCTGGTCTAGTCCTTGTTTAGTCCAGGTCTAGTCCTTGTTTAGTCCTGGTCTAGTCCTTGTTTAGTCCTGGTCTAGTCCTTGTTTAGTCCTGGTCTAGTCCTGGTCTAGTCCTTGTTTAGTCCTGGTCTAGTCCTTGTTTAGTCCTGGTCTAGTCCTTGTTTAGTCCTGGTCTAGTCCTTGTTTAGTCCTGGTCTAGTCCTTGTTTAGTCCTGGTCTAGTCCTTGTTTAGTCCTGGTCTAGTCCTTGTTTAGTCCTGTCTAGTCCTTGTTTAGTCCTGGTCTAGTCCTTGTTTAGTCCTGGTCTAGTCCTTGTTTAGTCCTGGTCTAGTCCTGGTCTAGTCCTTGTTTAGTCCTGGTCTAGTCCTGTTTAGTCCTGGTCTAGTCCTTGTTTAGTCCTGGTCTAGTCCTTGTTTAGTCCTGGTCTAGTCCTTGTTTAGTCCTGGTCTAGTCCTTGTTTTAGTCCTGTCTAGTCCTTGTTTAGTCCTGGTCTAGTCCTTGTTTAGTCCTGTCTAGTCCTTGTTTAGTCCTGTCCAGTCCTTGTTTAGTCCTGGTCTAGTCCTGTTTAGTCCTGGTCTAGTCCTTGTTAGTCCTTGGTCTAGTCCTGGTCTAGTCCTGGTCTAGTCCTTAGTCCTGTTAGTCCTTGTTTAGTCCTGGTCTAGTCCTTGTTTAGTCCAGGTCTAGTCCTTGTTTAGTCCAGGTCTAGTCCTTGTTTAGTCCTGGTCTAGTCCTTGTTTAGTCCTGGTCTAGTCCTTGTTTAGTCCTGGTCTAGTCCTTGTTTAGTCCTGGTCTAGTCCTGGTCTAGTCATGGCGATTGTGGCGTAAATATTTATACTCCGCTAATATTTGTGTCTCTTGCTCCGGTTCTCGGGTCTTTCTCTTTCTTCCTGATAATAATGTTGCTATGTCTCTGGATACTCGTCCCTGATTGGTTGACGCGTCGACGCCAGATTCACGCCGCGCTGATGCCCGAAGACGCGCCACAAAAACGCAGGACGCCCTAGACGTGCGTCCACATAGACTTTACATAGAAACTCAACGCTTTAACGGTGTGAACGGCTACACTTTTGAAGTTTTGGTTTGACTATTCTGAACTGAAAGCATGTCAAAGTTTTTTACATTTCTAACTGCATGTTATTTAGGTCAGTTATAATAAGGAAACACTAATTATATTTTCTTTTATTCTAGGAAATCAAAAAGTTTATCAAAAGTACGTCGGAACGAATCAAAAAGACCAGAGACAAGTACGGCATCAATGACAACGGGACCACCGAGGTAAGAACAAAACTTCTGTAAAATATGTAGATAAACACTCGAGGAATCTCTGGTGGATCTCAAAATATGGCCAAAATACTTTTACTTTTTATTCTTTAAGTACATTTTTAAACGGGTACTTTACTACTTTTAATTAAGTAGATTTTTCCTTGTGATACTTGCTTTTACTTGAGTATTTTTGGCTTCGATATCTGTACTTTTAGCCGGGAGGAGGCCCCGGGGAGGACCCAGGACACGCTGGAGGGACTGTGTCTCTTTGGGCTGGCCTGGGAACACCTCGGAGTCCCCCCGGAGGAGCTGGAGGAAGTGTCTGGGGTGAAGGAAGTCTGAGAGTCCCTGCTTAGACTCCTGACCCCGTGACCCGGCCCCGGATAAGCAGAAGAAAATGAATGGATGGATCTGTACTTTTACTTAAACCTGCACTGTGTAACTTTTTGGTCGGGGGTCTGTCACCTGCTTGTTTCTATGGATACGTCAATGCTCTGCCTGGAATGTTCCACAGTATGGCATTAAACAGATCAACTTTATATTTATTCAATTACACGTGGTTTTATAGCTCAAAATAACTTGGATAAGCAGATATTCTGACTGTGAGCGGGGTCGCCTCTCCACAGATCTGACCTGGAACTTCTACTACGTCTACTACTACTACTACTACTAACTACAACTACTACGACCACAACTACTACAACTACTAAGACCACAACTACTACAACTACTACAGCTACTACGACAACAACTACTACTACAGGACGACGACTACTACTACAACTACTACTACTACTGCTACTACTAAAACAACTACAACTAGTACTACAACTACGACTACGGCTGCGACTACTACTACTACTACTACTGCTACTACTACTGCTACTGCTACTACTACTGCTACTGCTACTACTACTACTACTACTACTACTACTACTACTACTACTACTACTACTACAACTACTACGACCACAACTACTACAACTACTAAGACCACAACTACTACAGCTACTACGACAACAACTACTACTACAGGACGACTACAACTACTACTACTACTGCTACTACTACTACAACTACTAACTACTACTACTACTACTACAACTACAACTAGTACTACAACTACTACTACGGCTGCTACTACTACTACTGGCTGCGACTACTGCTACTACTACTACGGCTGCGACTACTGCTACTACTGCTACTGCTACTACTGCTACTACTACTACTACTACTACTACTACTACTACTACTACTACTACTACTACTACTACTACTACTACTACTACTACTACTACTGCTACTACGACAACAAATACAACTACTACTGTAACTAGTACTACAACTACTACTACTACGACAACAAATACAACTTGGTCTTGGTTTGGTCTCCATGGAGATAAAAAGGTTTAATGCCATACTGTGGAACATTCCAGACAAAGCAATAACAAATATTAAATAAAAAGATGACAAACCCTCCACCAGAAAACTTACACAGCTGCACCTTTCAGTAACGATTTTGAGTACTTCTTTTATCACAAGTAAATATCTGGTTTTATTTTTAGCCCAAAGTTCTGTACCAACTGGATCGAATTACGCCGACGCAGCTGGAGAAGTTCTTGGAGACCTGCCGAGACAAGTATATGAGGTGAGACTGACATGTTCATATAAAAGTCCACTGTAAATATATGATTATATCAGCTACGTTACGAGAAACGCACCGTGTAATTTCAACTCTGTCATTATTGGTAGAAACATACGGCCTGAGCTGGTTCATTATCCACCTGTGAACGAGGAAGAAGTCATAATATTCAACTTTTATAGCATTTCTAACGAGGAAATAAATCAGTCAGTATAACTTGGGTATAGGGATGTAACGATATCTAAATGTCTCGGTGCGATATTATCACAATATGCACGTCACGGTACGATATTTATTGCGATATTTTGGAAAAGCTGATGTAATTGTAGATGGGACACTTTTTTGCTTTTAAAACACTTTCAGAAGATTTTAGTGTGAATTATTTCTGTCAGAGGTGGGAATTTCCAAGCCGTGACTTGGACTCGAGTCAGACTTGAGTCGCTATTTTTTAGGGTTTGAGACTTGACTTGATAAAATGGACTTAGACTTGGGTCTCAACTTGGACTTGAAGGTCAGTGACTTGGGACTTGAGAAGCACTTTCAAATCTGAATTCTTTCTATTCTGACCGTAATGATTCACTCTAAGTTATTGTCAAGACATTTAAACCAGAAAAATTAACATTTCTGCAACTCTTATATACTCACTTATAAATATACTATGATTTTTAAAATTTATATAAATTGCAAAAATCTAAGCTATATTTGGTACTTTTAATTTAAAGACTTGAAATGACTTGAAGCTCAAAGCAGACGACTTGGACTTCTGGGCCAGTGACTCGAGACTCGACTTGGACTTGCCTGTATTTGACTTGGGACTTGACTCGGACTTGAGACTTACTTGAGACTTGCATAACAACGACTTGGTCCCACCTCTGATTTCCGTCATAATCTCAGGATTTCAATAAAAAAAACATGTTTCTTCATGTTGTCTTCACTGAAATGAATCATGGGATTTGTAGTTCCCGATGTTGCTACAATAAAACCATAAATCTAAGCAAAAGAACTCGATAATTTAATTAAATAAAGTAATTCGATATATTGTGACAGCCCACGATATTATTTTGAGACTTTTGACGATAAAATATCACGATATTTCCGATATTGTTACATCCCTACTTGGGTATAATATGGGTAATTTAAAGGTGCATTGTGTAACTTTTCTGTTGGGAGGTCGGTCTTATGCTTTTCTCCGCAGAGATGTTATTGCTTTGTCTGGAAAGTTTCACAGTGTGGCATTAAACCTTTCTATCTTCATGGAGACCAAACCAGACCAAGTTACAGGTCAGATCTGTGGAGAGGCGACCCCGCTCACAGTCAGAACAGCTGTTTTTCTTGGTATTTTTGGCCTTTGAAACCACCTGTGATTGAATAAATGTAAAGTAGAGCTGTTTAATGTCACACTGTGGAACATTCCAGGTAGATCAATGACGTATCCATAGAAACAAGCAGCTGACGGACCTCCAAGCAAAAAGTTACATAGTGCAGCTTTAAGCGCATTGAGCAGCACTGTCTTCAAAAAAAACAAAAAAAACAAAACACATGTAAGCACAATTAAACAAATTTCAGATACGCACCCTTAAAAATAAAACAACTATTGGAATTAAATAATAGTTTCCAGTGCAGCTGTTTTTATATTTGTTTAATAAAAGTTTATATTGCGTAATTTTTATACAGATGTCAAACAGATGTTGTTAATTAACGTGACAGTTTCCATTAGCGTCCTGTGGAGAAGCGACAGCCTGTGTGAAGACCGACGGGAGTTTTAATAACTTCTGACAGTAATTAAATTTAATCCAGATGACTCATGCTCATTTCGAAGTCCCTCCTTTCCCCCCTTTTTATCAGACAATGAGAAATAGAGCAGTACATGTATCTTTCCACACAAAGAAAATGATTAAAGTCTAATTGAAACTCCATTTTAAACCATATACTGTATATATTTCATTTGAAGTGAAATGTATAATTTTATAACGGCGATACAATAGCGTCTTAATGAGGTAATTATGGATTGATGTGTCCAGTTTGTGAAATAGACATCGTAGACTGTAGGGTTTAATGTTCAAATCGGACTTTTTTGTGAAATCTGATTCATTCACATTTCCAATTAAACGCGACTTGTATGTGATCTCCATTGTGAACTTTAAACACCCCAAAAGTGTCCCTCATTCACACCGGAGGACACGACGAGAACAGGCATTCTTACTGTGAGCGGGGTCGCCTCTCCACAGATCTGACCTGTAACTTGGTTTAGTTTGGTCTCCGGGAAGATAGAAAAGTTTAATGCCACACTGTGAAACATTTCAGACAAAACAATAACATCTAACATGGAGAAACGCATCCCTATACTAGTGTTGTAGTCAAGAGCGCACTAATCGAGACCAAGACCTGTCCGAGACCACAGGGTCCCGAGACCGAGACAAGACCAAGACCTCTGAGTCGAGACCGAGTCAAGACATAGACCATCGTTGTAATTTTCAGCATTTATTGGTATTTTACAGTTATTTTGGCACATATATGTCAATGTTTTTTATAAATATATCCTCATTTCATTGAGTGTCAGACTTCAAGACCGAGGCAAGACCGAGTCCCAGCACCTTCAAGACCAAGGCAAGAGCGAGTCAGAGCACCTTTGAGGACGAGACCGAGTCCGAGCGCCTTCGAGATCGAGACGAGAGCGAGTCCGAGCGCCTTCAAGACCAAGGCAAGAGCGAGTCCGAGCGCCTTCAAGACCAAGGCAAGAGCGAGTCCGAGCGCCTTCGAGACCGAGACAAGACCGAGTTCGAGCGCCTTCGAGACCGAGACAAGACCGAGTTCGAGCGCCTTCGAGACTGAGACGAGACCAAGACAAGAGCGAGTCCGAGCGCCTTCGAGATCGAGACAAGACCGAGTCCGAGCTCCTTCAAGACTGAGACAAGACCGAGTTTGAGCAGCTTCGAGACCGAGACAAGGCTGAGTCTGAGCGCCTTCAAAATTGAGACAAAACCGAGTCTGAGCGCCTTCAAGACTGAGTCGAGATCGAGTCCGCGCGCCTTCAAAATTGAGACAAGACCGAGTCCGAGCCCCTTCAAGACCAAGACAAGAGCTAATCCGAGCACCTTTGAGACCGAGACGAGACCGAGTCCGAGGGCCTACAAGACCAAGACAAGAGCGAGTCCGAGCACCTTCGAGATCGAGACGAGACCGAGTCCGAGGGCTTACAAGACCGAGACAAGAGCGAGTCCGAGCACCTTTGAGATCGAGACGAGACCGAGTCCGAGCACCTTCGAGATCGAGACGAGACCGAGTCCGAGGGCCTACAAGACCGAGACGAGAGCGAGTCCTAGTGCCTTCAAGACCGAGATGAGAGCGAGTCCGAGCTCCTTCAAGACCAAGACAAGACCGAGTCCGAGCGCCTTCAAGACCGAGACAAGAGCGAGTCCAAGCGCCTTCAAGACCGAGACAAGACAAGAGCGAGTTCAAGCACGGTTGAGTCTGAAATGAGACCAAGACCTCAAAAAAACGGTCTTGAGGCCGTTCTCGAGACCAAAACCAGTCTTGAGCACTACAACACTATCGTATACAAATAAACAAACGAGTCTTGTTTTCATGTGTATTGTTAAATCTAATTATCTTCCTCCCCGTGTCGTTTCAGAGCACAGATGGAGCCTGGTTCTGCGGTGGGGGCCCTGTGTGCTCAGAGCATCGGGGAGCCCGGCACACAGATGACTCTAAAGACCTTTCACTTCGCCGGAGTCGCCTCCATGAACATCACACTGGGGGTTCCTCGCATTAAAGAGATCATCAACGCTTCTAAAAACATCAGGTACACAGCACACAGAGGAGATACGCTCTTCTCTTTAAGCGTCTGTTGGCTCAGTCGTGTTTAGCTTTCGTACACTTATCTGGTTCAAATCCTGCTCCTGTGATTGGCTGGTTCAGTCTCAGGTCTCACAGGTCGCCCACTGCCTCTATATCCTTGAGCAAGACACTTATATTTAGGGATGGATGTATTTATTGAGCCAATACGATATCTGATATTTGTCTTGCTGTTTTGGCTAATGAGCGATTTAAGCTTTAAATATTCACAGATTCACTTTTTTGTTTTTTGTTTCCTATATTTATCGATCTCAGTTTCACAATTTTACAGTATTTTAAACCTAAATGCAATGAATGTCCACACTACCGCAACAATATAAACTCATGTGATGTTCATGCTCTAAATCAGGACTTCATTTTCACTCATAAACTGTGAGAAAATAACTGTTTACTTTCCATAACTTGGATTATAATGATGAGAACCATCAGAGGAGAAAAGGTGAAGAACTGTGGTGGGATCAGAGCGGGAGGAAGAGTGGAGGGAGCAGAGGGACAGACACGGCTCTGCACACGGAGACGGAGGGACAGAGACCTTGGACTTTTAGTCAGATTATGCAGATTTACAACAACTGGTGAGGAAACAGAGAAGAGCTGTGGCCCTGACTTAAGTCTGTGCAGTTAATTGAATTTTGATTTCTATTTGTGTGTCAAACGATCTCCAAACTCATATAATCGAGTTGAAATGATTTAAACTCATTTAATTTTTTAAATATAGAGATTATAAAACAGCTGGATATATAGTTTATTTTGGATTAAGTGTGGATCGGTGCAGCGTCGGCAGTGATGCGGTCGCTGTATCGGACCGTTGTGGTGAAGAGGGAGCTGAGTCGAAAGGCAAAACTCTCGATTTACCGTCAATCTACGTTCCTTCCCTCACCTATGGTCATGAGCTCTGGGTAATGACCGAAAGGACGAGATCATGGATACAAATGTGTGTGGAGAGGGAGGTCTGGGAGGCCCTTCTCAGACTGCTGCTCCTGCGACCCGACCCCGGATAAGCGGACGAAAATGGATGGATGGATGGATTAAAGGGCCTGTTTACACGAGAACGCTTGCGGGTAAAAACGTTTAAAAAAATTTACCCGCTTGCAAGTAAAAAAAATAAAAATATTGGAAGTGCCTTGTTAGGTTTATCTAAACATTAAAAACAAGAAGAAAGACAAGAGATTAATTCAGTTTTACTCGCGAGGAGAACGGGCAGAGAGTGGGCATCAGACCAACAGTCTCCACACGTTCTGATGACTCAAGGCCGTTCTCCTCTTTTTATTTCATTAGGAGGCCCTAGTTACAGAATGATAATTCTCAAGGGGAAGGGGAAACCAGCAAAGACATAATAAGAAACTGGTGCAGCTATGCATAGTACAAACACATAAAACATGATTAACAATCAGGAGGTGCCTTAGGTCAGACACCATCATAACTCTTGCATGTGTGACAGTGGGAGTTGGCTTCATGTGAGGAATCATCTCGAGGTTCACTAGAGCGATAGGACACTGCACACAGTTGTCAAACACACAGAGGTTATTCAACAAGTGACAAGTGATTGGTACATTATAAATCAAAGAATTGTAGTACATAAATGGTTAACTCATAGGCCTAGAATATCACACAAGTATTTAGCAAATATGGGATAATAAAATTATTCTGACATGCCTTTTGTTTAAACGGTGACAGCGTTTTTGGGGCTTAAAAACGCTAAAATCTGAAACCACCCTCCAGAGTGGAAAAGCTGAATACACCCCGCCGTAGCGTTTCCTTCTACACTGCCCAAGACGCAAAACTCTGGTCAGATCTGCTCACGTCGCTTATGCGTTTTTACGTCACATACGTCACCACCTAGCCGCCTGGCATGCAAACCCGATCGAATTGATGCGCGCAGATTTCATCGTGAAAATGCTCGTTTAAACGCAGAATAAAAAGTGAAGACGCGACGCCTCTTTTGTGTCGTATGTTCAGACCGTCATCATATAAATGTAACTGTAATTACGTTTTTCTGTGCCTTATTTCATGTTCAAAGTATATTTTGTCTCATCATCGAGATCGACCAACGTTGAGGTAGTTGTATTTGCATTTACAGCCTAAAACAATGTACAAATGTGAGTTTATTTATATATATTATACAAACTAAAACAAACATTAAACATCTCTAAAATTTGAAGATAGAAAATCAAATCTGTTGTAATAATATGGCAAGAAGTTTGTGTCAAAAAGTGAAAACCGAGCATAGATTATTAGTGTCTGGAGCTCTGCGGTGTGACAACCTGAACTCTGACAGTCTTTTAGAAGTTCTCGTTCTGAATATTTTCTAGCATTCTGCACACGTATCAGAGAAGTTGCTGAGTTTTCCCAACTGTACTTTGGATAACAAATGTAGCTGCTAGAATTTTATATAACCTCTATTGTATTATCTATGACACTGTTGTATTTCTGGGTCAAAAAAGAAGCAAAAAACCACAGCAAACACCACACATTTATACCAAGTGAAAGTAAAGTTCATAAGTTATTTTTGGGCTTCTGTAAAAATAATAATAGCAAAATGTAATTATCTGGAATATAAAATAATTTGTTTCATGATTGTGTAAACACGGAGCTAATTTTTACTAATTAGTCAAACACGTTTTCATGATCAGTTTCACTTTGTTTGACATTTGCTGTTTAAAAAAAACACATTTAATGATAATTACTGTGAGAAGCCCACAGTGCGCAGCATTTATTCACCCAATGAAAACATAAAAAAACACAAACCACACAATATGAAGGTCAAAAGACATTCTATAAATACATCTGTACTGCTATACAGAGGATTATTTTTGCATAATTTATCTTAAACGTCGTGGTGGTGATGTTTGCCGTTTATATTGTAAAAATGTACAACGGTGAGTTTATTTATGGACTTGACCTGGACTGGACCTGGACTGGACCTGGACTGGACCCGGACTGGACCAGGACTGGACCGGGACTAGACTGGGACTAGACTGGGACTAAACTGGGACTAGACCGGCACTGGACCCTGACTGGACCTGGACTGGACCCGGACTGGACCCGGACTAGACCTGGACTACACCTGGACTGGATCTGGACTGAGCTAAATGAGCTCTAAACCAGGACTAAACCAGGACTGGAGCAGGACTAACTTAGGACTGTACCTGGACTGGCCCAAACACACTGTATATATTGACTGAGCTCTTAAACCAGGACTGGAACAAGACTAAATTAGGACTGGAACAGGACTAACTTTGGTCTAGACCAGGACTGGATCTGGACTGAACCTGGATTGAACTAGACCTGGACTGGACTGGGACTAGACAAAACACACTGTATGTATTGACTGAGCTCTTAAACCAGCTCTAAACCAGGGCTGGAACAGGACTAAATTAGGACTAGACCAGGACAGGACCCTGACTGGACCCTGACTAGACATGGTCTGGACCTGGACTGGATACCTGGACTATACCGAACACGCTGTATATATTGACTGAGCTCTAAAACCAGGATTAAACCAGGACTTGAACAGGACTAAATTAGGACTGGACCTGGACTGGACCTGGACTGGACCTGGACTGGACCTGGACTGGACCTGGACTGGACCAGGACTGGACCAAACACGCTGACTGAGCTCTTAAACCAGGACTGGAACAGGACTACAGTAAATTAGGACTAGACTGGGACTGGACCGGGACTAGTCCTGGAGTAGATCTGGACTAGACCGGGACTAAACCAAACTTGCTGTATATATTGACTGAGCTCTTAAACCAGCTCTAAATTAGGACTGGAACGGGACTAAATTAGGACTGGACCTGGACTGGACCTGGACTGGACCTGGACTGGACCAAACACACTGTATATATTAACTTAGCTCTTAAACCAGGATAAAACCAGCTCTAAAGCAAGACTAAAGCAGGACTAAATTAGGACTAGACCTGGACTGGACCTGGACTAGACCTGGACTGGACCAAACACACTGTATATATTGACTGAGCTCTTGCTTGCTGCAGTGGGACCAGTGGTAGACTCAACCAGGACTGGACCAGGACTGGACCAGGACTGGACCAGGACTGGAACAGGACTGGACCAGGACTGGACCAGGACTGGACCAGGACTGGAACAGGATTGGAACAGGACTGGACCAGGACTGGACCAGGACTGGACAGGACTGGACCAGGACTGGACCAGGACTGGACCAGGACTGGAACAGGACTGGACCAGGACTGGACCAGGACTGGAACAGGACTGGACCACGACTGGAACAGGACTGGAACAGGACTGGACCAGGACTGGACCAGGACTGGACCAGGACTGGACCAGGACTGGACAGGACTGGAACAGGACTGGACCAGGACTGGAACAGGGCTCAACCACGACTGGACCAGGACTGGACAGGACTGGAGGACAGGACTGGAACTGGAACAGGGCTCAACCACGACTGGACAGGACTGGACAGGACTGGACAGGACTGGACCAGGACTGGAAGGACTGGAACAGGACTGGAACAGGACTGGAACAGGACTGGAACAGGACTGGAACAGGCTCACGACTGGAAAGGACTGGAACAGGACTGGACCAGGACTGGACCAGGACTGGACCAGGACTGGACCAGGACTGGAACAGGACTGGAACAGGACTGGACACACTGGACTGGAGGACTGGAACAGGACTGGACCTGGACAGGACTGGACCAGGACTGGAAACAGGACTGGACCAGGACTGGAACAGGACTGGACCAGGACTGGAACAGGACTCGACCAGGACTGGACCACGACTGGAACAGGACTGGACCAGGACTGGACCAGGACTGGAACAGGACTGGAACACGACTGGAACAGGACTGGAACAGGACTCGACCAGGACTGGAACAGGACTGGACCACGACTGGACCAGGACTGGACCAGGACCAGGACTTGAACACGAATAAATTAGCACTAAATTAGGACTAGACCGGAGATCTCT